ACAACAATTTTTTCCAGTGAATGTTCGGTTTTGCAATGCTAGTTAACGGCTCCCCCGGATAAACCCACGACTTTCGCCTCCTAGGATTGTCGTAAAATATCCACTTTTCTTCCTCAGTCAGAATTTTATGTAAAAAGTCTTTTTGTTTGAATCTGGTCAGTAGGCACATGGCAATTTCACAGCGTCGATTTTTGTTTTCTGAGGTAAGATGATGGGGCACCCAATGACCATCCTTCTGCAGCCTCCCAATTCTTTTTAAACGCACCGAAATAGCTGGTTGAGTCACTCCAAGAGTATCAGCATGCTCCTATTGTATTTGACAGGGATTTTCATAGAGTAATTTGTCCAACTCCTTATCCTCAACTTTTTTTGGTTGCCCAGGACGTTCCTCATCCTGGAGATCAAAATTTCCATCCTGAAATTTTTTAAACCACTTTTTACATATGCTATAAAATACAGCACTCCCTCCCAAGGCCGAAAGAATCTTTTCTTGTGCTTCTGCGTCAGTTTTTCCAAGTTGGAAGGTGAAAAGAACTCAGTGCTTCAAGTGCTGCTTGTCGAACGACATTTTTATTCACTATGTTTTTTGAGGTTGTGTTAATCACACCACAGTCCCACTTAAGTGGTTTGATAGTACACAGATGGTGTTTCAAAACGCCGTTTATTGGGGGTAATTCTTTTAATTCAAATAGGTGTTCTGATCAAATCAACCTACGGGCCGAGAGTTAATTTGGACACCTAATAACTCAATTTTTTTTCCCAGCAACAATTTTTCGATCAATTTAGCACAAATATTTAATTAATCATCCTTTCACATAATATTCAAGTTAAAATCCTTCTTTCATTTTCTGTGATCATCGCTATTTTTTTTTACATTTCATAATTAAAAACAAACTTTAAGTGTCCCGTGAAAAAAATTATGAGAATGTTTCTCATCCAAAGTTCAGCCAATAGAATTCCAGCATTCGACGTCACGTGGCGGAAACTACAGAGTTTTCAACTCATGATTTTTTGATAATTTTCTCTGGTAGTTGCTATGTAAAAAAACAAAAGATCATTCAATTGAGTGAACCGTTCGCCAAAACTGACAGGTTGATTTCGCCTCATGGTGCAATTTTTTTGGCCGAAATTTGGATGGAAAAATCCTCTCCCGAATACCACTCGGGCTTCGAAATTAATCATATATTTCCCTCAAGGTTCCCTGCACACAAACGAAGTCTACAATTTTTTTCAGGAAAAATCACTCGTGCTCCGCACTCGTAATATTTTAGCCTGAAAAAGTTGACTCCTTCGTTTGTTTGCAACGAACCTATCGGGAAACACTCGATAATGTTGAAGTTTTCGTGGTATTACATATGATAAATTTAATCGACTTATTCATTTTCTCTGAAATTTCCTCCGTGCCGTAATCCAAATTTAGCGTTAGACAGTACTTTTGTTTATGCACAAATTTATTATTTGATCGAAACGACGTTTTTTTTATTATTAGGAAATTACTAAAATTAAATTCCTAAAGAAAATTCACTTGATATTTATGATTTTGAAGTTATTTCTCTTGAAGAAAGGAAGGGACTATGAGACTCTATTTCGCGACCGCGGAAGACGCCAAAAAGGAACGGAACGAAGAACTGCGGGAACTAACTTTGGGGGTGCATCAACGCACTTTGATAACCTCGCATTGTATGTATTAGTCTTGAGTGCAATATGTATGTGAGTTTAATGTGTTAATTTAAGGAGGGGACATCGTACGATGTCGATTCACCAAGAAACGCCTCGGTACGGAACCTCCTGGTGATAACGTACTTGGAGACAATCCCAGGCATTGCCATCTAACGATCACGTGATCTGTCGAGAAATTAACGACAACATGCAGGTCAGCGCCAATACAGTGGTGAGATGTCAACGGATTTCGTTCTACCGACCAGTTGCCACGATCGAGTGGTCGAGTGCTCAGCTCACTACCTCTCGTTCGCAAACTCACTCTGTATCTCACCAGATTAGAATAAACCGTTCATTCCTGTCAGTTAATGCGAGAGAATTTACTTATTGACTTCTACCTCTACTCTTTCCGGCACCTCATAATAGCTATTTGTTGTAAAAATTTCGACATGGTCCTTCGAGCTGGATGCGGAGGTGTGAAGTTCAATTCAAGTTCGCGAGACGCGTCAACTACAAACTAACGGACACTTCTGCCTTGTCATTCGCCGTTTGCCACAAATTGAACATCGTATAGTGCCTAGACCGCTCCGTCGTTCGCTATTTGTAAGAATTGAAGGATGCTAAGTGCACCAAAAAGAAACAGATAAATCTCAATGAGCATAAGAACATTATGTGAGTGAGAAAGAGTCGGCCATTAATACCGACAATGTGCAAATAAATTGCAAATTTATTAATCGACAGTGGTGACATCACATCAACATCGTGGTAAGTCACCTCCGACAGAGTTGGTTCGATCGGTCACGTAGCGTTCCGCAAGACCACACGAAAAATCACAAGTGACGTGCAATGTGTCCATAACCTCCCAACACATGGTCCCACGTGAGAGTTGTAAGTAGTCAACAAACAACTGTTACCCAGTGAATGAAAGAGAGTTAAAATTGTGTTAACCGTTGTGTCACGGTCAATACCAGAGCATTGCTTAGTACCCAGGACGTTCTAGTGCCCTGGTGACCCCCAGACTCTTAAGTGTATAGTGACAATATTGTGGCTCGTTAATGATCAGTTCGAAAAACCACGTGAAGTGAAATCATAAAGATGCCTCCTAAGTCATTTGCGGCGTCGACCCTGCTAGCGGAGGATGACTCCTTTGAAAAAACATTGACTACGATCCGAGAAAAATTTGAGAGTATGCAGCGAATCATCTCAAGGTTCTCAGAATTAACTCCGCAACAAAAAACAGTAGACGCCGCGGAAATTAGACTAAAAAAACTTAGACAGTATTATAATGAGTGCAAGGTGTTGAATCGTCGCGTGCCACGTCTTGCTGAGGAGAATGAAGAAGATCAGAAGAGTGACTATTTCACTGATACAGAGTTCGAACAAATGGAGGATCAGTACCTCACTGAGGTTTCTGTAATTCGTGGGTCAATTCGAACACTTCAACCCCCACCGATCAATGTCCAAAACATTCAGGCAGACCCAGATTACTCTCATACCAAAAGAGAAAGGATCAAGCACCCCACATTCGATGGCAACCCGAGCAAGTGGAACAATTTCCGAGACTTGTATAAAAAACTCACTCATGACAATGCAAGAATTCCAGTGATGGAGAAGTTTTTGATTCTTCATGGTCTATTGGATGCAGAACCTTTTGATCTCATCAACGACATCAAAGTCGAAGAGACGAATTATCAATGTGCTTGGCAAATACTGCTGGAGAGATACAAGGATGAGAGCAGCCTCATCTGGGTTTATTTGAAGGAGTTATTTGAAATAAAGAGGATGAAAAATGACTCAACATCTGACATTCGACGACTTTATGATCAAACCAATCGTATCAAAACAGGGTTACTCAACCTTAAGCGCAAAGTCGACGAAGACACTCTGGTGTACATGACCGTCACAAAAATGCACCACGAAAGTAGAAAACACTTCGAAAACATGACACTTTGCGTCAATTCCTCCCCCTCCTTCGAGATGGTGCAAACTTTTCTGGGTCAGCACGCACGACGCAAGGCCAAAGTCCCTCCACCACTCACCCCCGAACAGCCATTCAAATCAACCATCAAGGCGCTTCATGTTGCATCAAGCGAGGCTAACAGCAGTCAGTGCTGCAAGAGAAACCACAAGTTGGAAACATGCCGTACTTTCCACACTAGAAACGTCAAGGAGAGAATAGAATTCATCAGTTCCAACAGTTTGTGCTTCAAATGCCTTGAAACTGGACACAACCAGACGGAATGTGACCAGGCCGGTAAGTGCAAAAAATGTAAGAGAAAGCATCAGACAATCGTATGTTTGATTCCAACATCTACTAAAAACAGTAGCACAAAGACCTTTCTCCAGCACACCACCACGACTGCTAATGCAACTCTAGAATCAGGAAATGAAGTGGCCGAGGAAGGTGAATCAGATGGAGTTGCAAGCGACGGAGACAAGGTTGAGGAATTGACCAGTTGTCCCAGCAGACAGGTTATAAGCGGAGTCAAACATGTATTATTAGCTACCGCTAGAGTCAGGATCAAAGTAGCCAACAGAAGAACAGTGGTGATTCGTGCACTTCTCGATCAACGTTCTCAAACTTCCTTCATAAGTGAGTCTATGGCTCAAGCTCTACGAGCTCCTCATACCAAAGCCAACGTCATAGTCACCGGAATATCAGGTTCAAGAACATCAGTGTGCCAATCAGCTGTCGACTGTTTTCTTGAACCTAAAGACAAACGAGAACTATCGATTCCAGTACGAGCGTACGTACTACCTCGCTTGACGTCTTACTTGCCCGAAGAAAAGACGGTCAACAATGACTGGAGATAATTAAAGGGACTTGCGCTAGCAGACCCCAACCCAAATGACGGTCAGAGAATTGACTTCATTATTGGCGCTGACATCTACCCGGCTGTTCTTTTGGAAGGAATTCGACGTGGAAGTGTTGACACACCCCTCGCTCAAGAAACTGTCTTCGGTTGGATCATATCAGGGCCCCTGCCCTGCAGCCGAAACAGTAGTCTCCCAATTATCAATTCAAAAAACCATTGCCTCATCAATGAAAGGCTCGAGAACTTGATCAGCCGGTTCGGGGAAATCGTGAATTTGTCAGTGGAGATTGGTCTTAAGGAAGAGGATCAACTAGTGGAGGACCACTTCAGTCGCACACACTCTGGGAATGATGAAGGCAATAAATCGTTCACCTCCCTCTGAAGAGCGAGCTTCCACTTGAGATTGGTAATTCCCACAATAAGGCGTTGAAATGTCTTGAGCGTCAATAAAATCGTATCAAGAACTAACCGGATCGACAAGATGAGGATGAGAAATTCCTCAGTGAGTAACTCTCCTTGAAACACATGAAATTATCGCCAATCACTGTTGAACCCAATAAAAAACCAATTTATTTATCTCACCATGCTGTTTTACGTACAGACAGCACTACATCGCCATTAAAAGTAGTGTTCAATGCTTCCAGCAAGACCACTAATGGTACTACCTTGAATGATCACATGTACGTACGACCCCAAATACTACCAGAACTGCTGGACATCATACTCAGATGGAGGATGCACGTGGTGGCATTGAGGGCAGATGCAGAAAAAATGTTCCGCCAGATACTGGTGACTCCGGAACAAACTCACCTCCAGAGGATTCTTTGGCAGCAGCCAAATAAAAATGAAGTGGAGTCTTTCGATTTGATCACTGTTACATACAAAACAGTACCAGCCCCATTCCTAGCAAACAGAGTACTCAAACAGCTTGGTGACGATGAAAGTACTCAGTTCCCTAGCGCTGCAGATGTTCTACGTAGAAATATATATGTCGACGACCTATTCACTGGAACAAACTCAATCCCTGAGGCGAGACAACTGCAAGAACAACTCCGATTACTCCTGAAGGCGGGAGGATTTAACCTGAGGAAGTGGGCAAGCAGTCATCCAGGCGCATGGGAGTCAGTGGACACACCCCGTCTTGCCAAAAATACGACCTTAAAACTGAACTACGACGAAACAGTGAAGGTGCTGGGTATTTACTGGAACATAAGTCAAGACTCTTTTCAATTCAACGTTCAAACTGGGCCCCAGGGAGGAACAACAAAAAGGGAAATTTTGTCATCAATAGCCAAGATATTTGACTCCGTGAGCCGGCTGACTCCTACAACCATTTCAGCAAAAATTATGATGCAAGAATTGTGGATTACGGGGATTGACTGGGATGAAACAGGGCCTGATGAGATCATTACCCCCTGGAGTCAGTCACTACAATCAGTTAGCAGACCTACAACAGCTGAGAATTCCTCGACACATCAGCTGGACAACTGAATTACAATCCTGTGAACTCTGCGAACGGAACGCTGCGCAGCACATCTACTAGCTAAAACATTGGAGAGAGTAATCTCTTCAATGGGATTGAAGACAGCAGGACTCCATGCTTGGTCTGAGTCTGAAATAGTCCTGGCCTGGCTCCGCAAACACGCGCCTACCTGGCCAACGTTTATCGCGAATCGCGTCGCTGACATCCAGTTAAGGATTCCCTCAGCTGTCTGGCACCATGTCCCAACTGATTTTAATCCTTCTGATTGTGTATCGCGAGGGATCCTTCCATCAGAATTTATCAATCACCACTTGTTGTGGAATGGACCCTTGTGGCTGAAGCTATCAGCTTCACTTCAACAGGAATAATTGACGCGCTAACCGGAATAATTGATACAGAAAATGAAGGATCCGAACAACCACAACCAGAGATTCAGGAAATATATTCCGAATACTCATCGTGGAACAAATTAATCATAGCGACCACTTTCTGTCTTAAGTTCCTCAATAAACGAAAGTGTTACAGATTCACACCATTGTCAACTCGCGATCTCAAGGAAAAAGCTGAAGGATTCTGGGTAAATCAGGTCCCAAGCGTGGAATTCAAGGAAGAGATTCGCACCCTTCAGAACGGACAAAGCCTGCCCGATAAGAACAAGTTAGCGAAGTTACACCGCTTCCTGGATAACTATGGAACTCTGAGAGTAGGTGGCCGGCTGACCGACGCACCCATCTCATTCAACGAAAAACACCCGGCCATTCTGCCCGACCATCACATCACGAGATTGATCATGAGAGAAACGCATCTCCAAAGACTCCATGCAGGCACCCAATTAACTCTTTACAGTGTACGTCAAAAGTACTGGATATTGAACAGCCAAAGGTTAGTGAAATCAATCATACACTATTGTGTTAAATGCATTCGTTACAGTGGAAAAAATCATGATCATGATCAACTGATGGGAAATCTACCGGCCGCCAGAGTCACTCCAGCCAGACCCTTCCTGCATACAGGCGTAGATTACGCTGGACCAATCTGGATCAGAACATCCAAAGGACGAGGTCATCATGCCCACAAAGGATATCTGGCCATTTTTGTGTGTTTTACTACAAAAGCGATTCACCTCGAAGTTGTATCTGACTACACTGCGGAAACGTTCGTCGCAGCCTTCAGAAGATTTGTAGCTAGACGGGGACTCCCTTCCGACATGTACAGCGACAATGGGACGACATTTGTTGTCACCAACAAGGAAATTCAAATCGCCATCAAGGACGCTCAGAGATTCGCGCTACCAAGCTCAACTTCAAAAAACACATCAGTTGGCATTACATCCTCCCATTTTGGAGGCCTGTGGGAGGCCGGTGTAAAATCTATGAAGTTCCACTTAATCCGATTGACTGACGACAGAAAAATAACGTTCGAGGAATGGAATACTTTCCTGTGCCAGATCGAGAGCAACGTGAATTCCAGGCCACTCACTGCTCTTCATGACTCTCCTGATGATCTGCTCCCGCTCACAGCACGTCATTTTCTGATTGGCCAACCTCTCTCCGCGAAACCGGAACAATCATTGTTGGATGTGAACAGCAATCGATTATCACCCTGGCAACTTATCCAACAACTGAATGAGAGCTTTTGGATTCATTGGAGACAGCAGTACTTATACGCTTTACAAACAAGACAAAAATGGAGAATCGAGAAAGAAGGTTTGGAGAGCAGAGAGATTGCCCTCATCAGAAACCTAGCTACACCACCCAGCAAGTGGCCACTTGCACGAGTGACAGAGCTCTTCCCGAGCTAAGACGGAATGGTCCGCACGGTCAAGGTCAAAACTGCTACGACTGAGCTCGTACGCCCAATCGTCAAACTCGTGTCCTTGAGACTACAATCTGCCATGGCGGGCGGTGAAAGGCCTAATTGAAAAAAATCCTAATTGGCTATATCCTTGATACAGCCGTCAGATTTAACGTAGATACGTCTATGGACCTAAATCCTCATTGGCAGTATCCTTTTTAACGCAATTCTTCACAAGAATTTAATGTTATATTCAATTCTATACGTCTTAATAATTTCGTAAGAATTTCAAAATTGAAAAATTCGTGATTCTAAATTAGAACCTGCTTAATTGACGAATTCCATGGAAATACAAGAATTTAAATTGCCGAATTCGACGGAAATACAAGAGTTTAAAAAAATTCGAATTTTCCAATCACTTTATACTATGAGAAATTGCTCTAAAAAGACTTAGTTGATCAAGAATGCCTTCTATTCACTCGCTCTGTTGGATAAGTAGGAAACTACTTTGATGATTGAGTATGCGAGGGAGCCACTTGTTTGTAGAGGGCGACAATTTTGTCACTCTTGGCGACATCTGTAGATGGCGCTGACGCTCCCTCGAATTGAAACCGGCCAATCAGAGCCCACGGAATGTCGAGACAGTTCTCTGCACATGCGCACAACCTATTTGCGTCGCAAAACTTTCAGGACGTTGGAGTTTTGCGTAGTTGGGGGGTATATAAGACGGTGGGCTGCCCCAGAGCACTCACTTTGGATCCAGAAAGCGACGAGGGAACAATCAGAAGCAGAGAAACAGAGAAGCAGAGAGGCCGAGAAACTGAGGAGCAGAGAAGGAAAAGCCGAGGTAGTAGAAGGGAGAATGGAGAAGCTGAAAATGAACTGATCTCAGGAGATCTACGAAGGAATCAAGGACTTCAAGGTCATCTTTGGCTTCCGGATGGATGCCGCGTTTGGATTCAGCGTTCCGCCGACGTTTCGCAAACATTGCACTCTGCATCTTCAGGGCTATGAGCTCCGATTCTGAGCTCCGATGTCTAGGGGTAGTCCTTNGGGGGGGGGTGGTCAGCCAATCATATGTGTTTAATTGATCACCTGGTCAATTAAAAAAAAAACCGGGAGGACGGTTTTCCAAATGGGGTTCACTTCATATCCTCTGTCCCTCTTGAGGTTGTTAAGGTTTTTATGGATCTCCAAACCCTCTCGGTATTTCCTTTCGAAATACCCTTGAGATTAGGCCGACATTCTGGCTTGGTCGTACTGGATAGTATGTCCAGTGTCCATCCATGGTCGTACTGGATAGTATGTCCAGTGTCCATCCAGTGTTCAGCCAGGGCAGACTGTTCTAAGTGACCGTATTTGAAGCACCGCTGGTGTTCCTTGATCGGTGTACTGATCTTCCTCCCGGTTTCTCCAATGTACACTTTCCCTTATGAGCAGGGGATCTCGTACACGCCTGGTGTGCTCAGAGGTGATCTTGGATCCTTTGCACTTGGCAGCATCTGTCCGATCTTCTTTGGAGGCTGGAAGATCGTTCGAATGTTATGTTTGCCAAGTACTCTACTTATGCGTTCTGTCGTGCCTCTCAGAGAGGGGAGGAGGGCCACTTTTGAAGGTTTGAAGTCAGCACTTCAGAAACCTACTGTATGGTTCAGGTATGTGGACGACCTTTGTCATCTGGCCACATGGAAAGACTGCTATAACTCAATTCCTGGAGTTCTTGAATACTCAGCATGTGAGCATCAAGTTCACTATGGAAATTGAAAAAGATGGATGTCTTCCATTCCTAGATGTCCTGGTTCGACGCAACGAGGATGGCACTCTAGGCCACCAAGTTGTGACGAAATTCCAGGCGAATTCGTCACCTGCGGAACTCCAGGGTCTTTATGTATAGACAGAGAGAAAGAGAGAGAGAGAGAAAAATTTATAAACCGTTGCCTTTTCTTCGCGATAAAAATCTATACGAAAAATTAGAGCTACCTGCTACCTTAACTCTACTTCAGAGCTACCTTAAGTTCGGAAAACTACTTAAATTGGTTACCTATCGCGTGAATCGATTCCATAAAATTTTAGAATAATATTCATTAAATAACTTCATTAAATAAACCAGATATTTTGCAGATATTTCTTTTCGAGTCAGTTTTGTTGAGTTAGAGTTTAGTAATTTTCGGTCAAGGATCAGGATATCACCGTGGAATATTTGGCCAAGATAATGTGCTACCCAGTGTTTCCTGTAACCCTTTTTGGTTTGTCGATAGAGTGAGTACATAGGTCGAGTTGAAATGCTTGCGCTCCCTTGAGCGAGAGTGTTAGGGCTTTCAGTTGGAAGGCCGTCGAGACGATCACCCAGTCGTCGAAACGGATCGCCACTGGGTTTTTAATTTAGTTACGTTGCGTTTGCGTTTGAGTTTTCGTTGGTAAAGTCCTAATTCCTCTCCGGAGAGTGTCCTCTGTAGATAAGCTACCTTATTCCGGTCGTAGATGAAGTGAAGATCCGCTCAGCCATCTCAGTTTCACGTTGAGTTCAAGTAATTACAGTTTTGTTCAGTGAAAATAATTAGAATCAATTATAGGAAAATTTAAATTTAAATCTTTAAATATTTCGCGCACAATTACCCCGGGAATCGATAGTTCGCGTCTCCGGCACTCGAGTCAGCACCGTACGGGGCTAGTCTCCCCCAGACTCCCCACCACTATGCAACAGGCCCGAGCGGACACACGCGATAGTCGCCATTACAGTATCCACCCGGACGACTAAGAGTGAGGTACGAGTCGATTTAGCTCCCTGAACAAGTTCTCTTTCGAGGTAATTATCGAGGCCCCGTGATCCAAATCCAGTCGAAATCAACGCTCCAGACGATGGTAAGTGCTCGTGTACTTATTTAGAGGTGATTAACAGTGAATTAGTGTGTTTTTCGGTAAAGCAGTTGGACCACGCGGAATGGCGTCGCTACCTCTCGGAATGACGCCAACACCGATACTCATGGTTTGAAGGGTAGAAAACCCTTCCAACAAACCCAAATGCTCCCTGGAAGCTACCTGAAATTATTTAAATAATAATTACGCTACCTGAATAAATTCAAACAGTAATAATGCCACCTACCATAACTTTTGGGCTAAATTTCATGCTTTATGCGTCTCGCTACGGCGATTGATGCCACTCGCTACCTACTTCATTGCTACCTTTTTGCTTGCTACCTTTTCTCGCTCTCTTCACGTAATTATTCTATGCTACCTATTTCTTTATATTTCTCCGACTCACAAGAGTTCTGGAGGAAAAATGATGCTACCTGAATTGTTCGGAAACTACCTTTTTTTTTGTTTTAATGCTCTCTAGCGTTCGTTGAATTTTGGATTCCGGTTGGGCATGGGGACGCTATCTTTTTAGTTACATTTACTTTTATGGTTGGAATCCAGAACAATAAAATTATCTAAGCTCTCTTACGTTCATGAATAAGCTACCTATTATTTTGGAAATTATTGGAGACCGTAAGCTACCTATTTTCCTGGAGAAAACCTCCATTTCCACGTGGCTGATTCAAGCTCCCTAGCTCATTTTTGCTACCTTTTCGGTGAATGAGATTCCCGATTTTAATGGGTTACAAATGGCATAAGAATTAAGTAAACCATTACAAAGGCGCTCCATAATTCGTAATTCGATTAATTACAGTCGAAAATAAGAAAAATTAGTACCTTTTCGTGAGCTCTCCTTTTTTTTTTATTTCGCGTAGTTACCTCATCCGTTCTCTCTCTCGCACGTACGCTACCTTCCTATAGTCTCTCTCTCTCTCGGATTCGTGTTCCCCTCGTGGACAATACCTTTGCTTCTCTCTATCAGCTTTGGATTGGGATCGCTTTCTTTTTCACACTTAAAATTATTATTCGCATCTTTCGAGTCTTTTGGGAGTTTAATGGGTCATTTCAGAGTATTTAAAATTATCTTGAGTCAAATTGATGTAATTTTGTAGTTGTACGAATTTACGATTTTGTATTAATATCGGCAATAGCGAAACACGTCAGTACAATTGTGTTTATTATTCAATGTCGACCTTACCTATCCCGTTTGGAATTTAAGACATTGGTTTATTGGTTTCTCGATCGATGATTGGTTTTGTTAATTGATGTTCTCGTCCACGAATCCACCCCTCTCTCCACGACCCGCACACTGAGCAGCCGAGTAAATCCCGTACCCTCGTAATCCACATTTCTGCGTATAGTTTGCGATATGTCTCTTGTCGTTATTGGATTTTTGGGGGCAATTAGTATTTAGTTTTAAGAAAATACGGTTCCGTTTGCGGTTTGTCGATTCCGCGTTGCTAAAAATCGGCTGGCGCCCTAAATACACGAAGTAAGGATTGGATGAGCTGCTGATTGTTCCCGGAGTCCAGTTTTAGCATTAGGGTTTTTGGCGTTTCAGACTTGTCGGATTACGAGAACGAAGGTAATGAGTTGGCCGTGTTTGGATAATCGAGACTTCTGGGTTAAGGTTTATTGAGTATTTGTTGAGGCCAAAGAAAAATCATTACAAAGTATATCACAAGCCAACCCACACAGATGGGTATCTCAATGCTACCTCCCATCACTACCCCTCCCAGAAGAATTTCGTTATTGGCTCCCTAATGTATAGAGCACTCACAATCTCTGAACCCTCCAGTGACAGAACCCGTTGACAGTGAAGTTGAACATGTTGAGATAGCTCTGACCAAGAATGGATATAACATCCAACAAATTCGGAAGGTCAAGCAGACGCTACAGAGCAAGTTCTCATCTCCCGAAGAGGAGACTAATCCTGAGGAAAACCAGGAAAGACCAAAAGTGGCCCTCCTCCCCTATCTGAGAGGCACAACAGAACGCATAAGTAGAGTACTTGGCAAACATAACATTCGAACGATCTTCCAGCCTCCAAAGAAGATCGGACAGATGCTACCAAGTGCAAAGGATCCAAGACTACCTCTGAGCACACCAGGAGTGTACGAGATCCCCTGCTTAAGTGGGAAAGTGTACATT